CCGAGGGTGGTTTTTTTACTTTAAAATTTTTGGGTTTTTTTTTTTTTTTTCTGTAGCTCTATTGCACAGATGTTTTCATTCAGATTCTCTGATCTGTAAAATATATGTAACAAAGGGCTTGGGTTCTTCCTAGGGCCAATTTGGAGTCCATGCAGGCAGAAACTGGTGCTTTGCTCAAACAGCTCAATGACTCTGCCAAGAAAGTGTCAAACTCTGTGGATGAGGTGAAGGAGCAATACGCAAAAATCCTTGAGGTAAGAGGTCACTCTGAAGGAAAAAATGTTTGCCTCTTTTATGTTTTCTTTCCCTGCAGCTGGATCACATCCTAAGAGGTGGCCTTGCTCTTTACTGCAGGAAAATCTAAAGGCGTGCCAAAGTTTAAATGAAAGATTCACAGAGATCGAGAAGAAGAGAAGTGACCTGGCTGTCTACTTGTGCGAAGATGTGAGTCAGCTGTCACTGGAGGAGCTCTTCGGAACCATCAGAACTTTCAGAGAACTTTTTATCAAGGCACTAAAGGTGAGGGGAAAATAATCCAATGCTAGTCATCTCAAATAATATCAGATTTACTTTAAAACCGCTTTTTTTGTGTGTGCGTGTGTGTGTGGAGTCTGTACGACACTCCGCAGCTGAGGCCGACTTGCATGTGTGGGAGTTCAGTTAGGAATATATGTATCAATTGACTCGAGGTTGAATGAAGGCTGTTATTGTTTCCGCCTAAGTGATTCAAAGACAAATTGCGGTGTATATTTGGTACTCATCGGTGATGGTGACACTCTTTGTTTCACGATGAAAGGAGAACAAAATGAGGAAAGAACAAGCTGCCAAGGCTGAGAAGAGAAAGAAGCAGCTGGCAGAAGAAGAATCCAAGAGACGGAAGGGAGAGAATGGAAAAATAAGTAAGTTTTGCTTTCGAAATCTAAAATGCTGTCCCAAAAATATAGATTTATTTATTTTAATCAAGTTGGAGAAAATTTCCAGGGCAAAAGAATAACTTTCCAGTCACCTACTTAAGCTTTTATAATTTTTGTTTCTTTTAGTTTGACGAACAAACACTAATGAAAATCACTGTTCCTCATCTGTTGGGTTTAAACATCCCTGTGTCGTAACTGACAAGTCAGCTTTGCTGTTTTGGGCCATTAAGTTGCTGCACATCATAACTTTTTGACTAAATTGAGCTCCTGACAATTTTATGACATTAATTTACTTTTCCCAACAAGAAGGCTGACTGCTTCTTGTTGGCAAGCTGCGTTCTCAACAAAACAATTTCTCCAACAAACTTACTTTTGATTGATTGGAATGAGAAAATGGTCTACAGTTTTCCCATTTCCCCCTTGGCATTTATCAGAGGTAATGAGCACCATGAGCCCACTTAATATGCAACCCAAATCCTTAGTAAATGTAGTTTTGAGCCCTGGTTCTTTGATATCTTCCCAGAAATTCAACATAAAGGGCATACTGTAAATATCTCCTCAGCATCAAGTGATTCCTTATACTTCTGATGTCCAAATAACCAAAAAAATGTATGTTTATGTCCTATGCAGGACCAGTGCTGTAACATAAATCTGTCCTACGAGCAGTAATTGTATATTTCTCACCAGAATGTGTTTCTAATATTTTTCATTGTTTTAATGACGTTATTTGTTGCAGTAAAGAAAGGCGTTATGCCACAAAACGATGGCTGCATCATCGACCACCTCTTGGCAGACATCAGGAAAGGTTTCAGCCTGAGAAAGACCCGGCCAAGGTGCGATTCGGAAAGCCTCTCCTCTAGTGAAATGCGTAGAGATGCCTGCCCACCTGGTAAGGACAAGAGACGGTGGTTTCCATCCTCAGCTCCTTGCTCCATCCCTCAATGCTTTAACCGCAAACCACCAACCTGTCTTCTAAGATTATATGTGCTTCTCTGCCCAGCCTGCATTTAGCTAAGCTAACGTTGTTGCAGCTGCTTCGTGAAGCTACTATAGAGTTTCTTTGCTTGATGAGCTCTTTGTCACGCCTGCTGTGTGTTTTTTGCTTATTGTGATTCACCAGTGAAGGACAGTAATTCAGCTAATATGTGCCGCTCAGGAGTCTATATGCTCTGATTGACATGGTTGGCTTTTGAGGAAATATTTGAACCGATCTTTATTTGAAATGGTTACACAGCAAACAACTTCAATACCTTTACAAGAAAAAGTACCCTGTAACTAAAGTCACAGTCATGTTAAGAAACCAAATAAGCTCTGCCAATTCTGCTGATTGTTCATTAAATATGCTTATGGGTGATTAGGGATGGTTATGCAAATATTAGTAGGCACCAAAATATTGATTTTTAGTCTCTTTATAATTTTGCCTTTTTTCTAATCGTGACATTATTATACTGTTTTCCTTTGTAAATTATCAGTGGGTCGTTTTTAGTCATTCTTTCCCTGAAAAAATTCTTCAAATCAAGTCATTAAAAGTTAAAAGCCATTGAAACTCGCACTTTGTGGATGAAAACTTCTGACTGGCCCTGTGTACCTCCGTCAGTACAACCTGCATCTCTCCTTCAGGTTCAAGTGTGAAGTCTGCAGACGAAGGAGCCGCACCCTCCACTCCCACCAAGCCTCACTCAGAGGATCCCCAGCGCCCCGAAGGCGAAGTGAACGGCTTCATCAGCCCGTCGGAAGAGACTGCACAAGCTCCACAGCCGAGTGCAGGCCAAGATGGGACAGCGGTGCCTCCCAATCCAACCCCTGGACAGCCATCTATGACGACGCACACCCCTCTGGAAAGGCCGGCATCGCTACAGGCCGGTAAAGACCGAGAGAAACCCACTGCCTCTGTGCCAGACACAACACCACCACCACCTGAGGCTGAAGTTCAACCAGGACTGCATACAAACAGCTTTTCTTTAGATTCAACGGAGACTAGCGTCCTCAGTCCATCATCCCTGTCAGATTCAGACCTGCTTGAGGCCGTGCTGGACAGCGCATCAACCTTGGTGCATGAAGTCTCAGATGAGTCCGGCATTAGCAAAAGCCTCGATAACCAAGAAGGTTCATCTGTTACAGACACTAACGGGAAATGTGGTGAACTTCCCAAAGGAGACCACAAAACAAGCCATTTACCAGAAGCGAGGGGACAAGGTGAAGACAAAGAATATGTAACTGTGAGGACATGTGGGGAGGACGAAGTTTGGAGTAGGAAACACTCGGAACCGAAAACGAGTGTAGTTGCACTCGATGAGGGCATCAGCGGGTGCGACGTGCCAGATGGGCAGGAACCAGAAGACGTGCCGTCGGTCTCTGAGGAAGTGTCCGCCTCTGTTGCCCCTGAACCAAAGAAACAGCTGAAGCTCTTTAAGCGAAGCAAAAAAAGGAGTAGTCAAGGTAACCCATTCATTCATTACAATAAAGATCATACTTTGAATGCTAGCTTCTCACTGTTTCTTAAAAGGGAAGCCATATTTTCTGTTGCTTTGTTCAATTTACTTTTCATGTTATATCTCTTGGTGAATTTATATGAGCACTTTTGCATGACCTCACCCATTTTTAAGGAACAGTACAAATGCAAATATTAAATACTGAATGGATTTAACTCTGGTCAGTTTGTTTTGAATCTTCTGTTTTCCGTTTGACTCTCTGAAACACAAGGTAACAGTGGGAAAAGTGGGAAACGACACACTAAACATAAATCAGGCTGTGTGTTGCAGTGAGGTAGGTCACATCGACCCGGTGCCAGACTGTAATCAGGATTATCCTAACGAACTCAATCATCGTCAGAGCTCTGTGCCAATAACACGTCATCTGTCGGTCTAACTGGAATCAGGATATTTTTCATCTGTCTGTGTCGTCTGAACCCCTTTTTTAATGCTTGCTCTCTAACACTCTTCAGACTCAGTGTTTGGTCATGCTGAAATCTTTCCTTGAGGTGATTCTAATGCCAATCAAAGCTGGTGGAAGCAAAAACCTGCCGCCGCACTGCCATGCGCAGCAATTAATCCAGTTCTGATCTCGGTCGGACTTGCAGTGTGAAAGTCGCTGTGGTGTCATTGTTGACTTTCCCCATAAAATCTCACTTTTGTGTCCTCTGTCCATATTTAACTGTCCATTCTCTGGAACAACAAGTGGGACTGTCTACCAACAGTCTCCCATGTGCTTTCTGTAAACTTGGCTCTGTGCTTTTTAACGCAATGAAAACTAATGTAAATGCATTCAAATGTTTCATCACTTAAACATTTAAATATGTAATTTTCTTTCCATTTAGATACATTTTAATCTGTACATTTATATATTTCTAAATATATTAAAGTATTTTTGGAAAAATGTATCTCCCCTGTATTCATTTTGATATCTGTTTCCCTACAGGTGATTCCAGAAAAAAGAAATCGAGAGGAAAAAGAAAATGTTAATTTCATACTGGATTTATAAGCTGAAGAAAAGATTTTTAATGGTCTAAAATGAGAATATTTACTGCAAGAACTCTCTGAAGATGTTGAAGTTGTCATTGGTCGTCTACAGAATCTCCCCTTGACCAAGAAGTAAAACATCCAAGTCTGATTTTTGCACAGCATGGGTGTTGAAGTGTCACTTTATGTAAACTAGAGTTTGTTTATATGAATGCAGAGCTGTTCTAAGATATATAAATATGAATGTGCTTTATATGTTTGTATATTTTGTATTAATTAGTGAAATGTGTTTTGCTATGAGTTGTGGTTACCCTGCAGCGCCCATCGAGAAGATAATGTTGTTGCGAGATGTCTTTATCAAAACAAAAAAAAGCAGCTTTTGTCTCAATTTCTTTATATTCTAGCAATCTGTGAAATAAATAACTAACTTTTAATGTTGAATATATTTTAAAAAAATTTTCTTTATTTTTTTTTTTTTTTTTCCCCTCAAAGTGTTTTTTTCCCCCAGCCCTTTTTGTTTTTTTGCTGGGTGCTTCATAACAATAAAATTTGCCATGATATACATTGCTGGCCACATTTATTGACAGTTGATGAAAATGGGTGAAACATCTCCAAATAAGTTCATCTTATATTATAACAGACGAAGAGAAGTATACATACCAATTAACCTGATATGTTTTAGGAGCAAGCTGGATTCCCTGGAGAGAATTCCTACATGAACAGAGAAAACATCAATATTCCAATCAGAAAGATGCCATCCTGGGATTCACTCCCAGGAATCAATATCCCACTGAGCAGTCCCATAACAGAACAAAGAATTCAAAGTTATTGAACACAACATAACCATGGAAAATGAAAGCTATATTGCACAGACCTCAGTGAGTTAGTCAGGAGGTCACAATAAAAAAGCACTGCAGGGATTACTTGCTTCAGTTAAGGCCATTGTTCTGGGCAAAATTGTGTCCATAGCAAATTCCCAAGGTCAGAACCAGTCATGAATTAAGAACACAAAGGCTTGTTTAGCATATTACAAAAAAAAAAAAAACCTTATCACCCAAGACTTTTGTGAAAATAATCAATCAGTTGAAAAGATTAAAGGTTGACTTTTTGGAAGGTGTGCTGTGAAATCTGGTGGAAAAAACTGAGCATTACAGAAAAAAAGGACATCATGCAGAGGATCAAGCATGATGGTGGTGGTGGGCTGATATGATATTAATTAATTAATTGGTTCCATAAATGGTGCCTTAATTTATGGAACCATGGATTGTGCTTTTTGGCACTAATTCTTCAAGGAAAATATCTGAACATCATTTCATAACCTTAATCATAACTTTAATAATGAATTAATGTTATTCTATTTTGCTACACATCTTATTTATATAGAACGAACACGACAACAGGTCAAGAATTTTACAGCTGAGTATAATGTACTAATGACTTGTACCAATGATTTAGTCTTAATTAATTTTAACCATGGCTGATTTCCTGTTTGAGTTGTGATGCTTTTATTTTGAAGGCACCGCTTCCCTTTTAACTGTTAGCGCAAATGCAGCTTAACGGCAATCAAAAGACAAGGTAACGGAGTTTATAAAATATATTTTATTATGAGCAGCTTCCTTGATAGAGGCACAAGGCATGTTTACTATCTAAATAAGTATATGCTTCAAATTTTGTGGGACTCAGACTATGTATTTTAATTACAAAAGTAGAGTAATTTTAAGTTTTAAACGTTTTTAAGTTAAGATTTATTGCAATTGGACTTACAAATCTTCAGTAAAGTGTCATTCTTCATTCAGGGCGGCATGCTACAAATTATTAGGCCTGACTTGATTACAAAGCCTTTGCTTCTCTTCTTTATCATCAGTGGATGATAGAAAGACTAAAACAGACAGATACAGATGAAATCACTGACGAAACTCATTGGTTTCTGATCGGCCACAAACTGAGCAGACGACACTAGGCATAACTAAACCTGACTGTTAACCTGGTCTGGCGCAGACTAGCTGCGATAAATCGCCATGGTAACTTATGTGCTGCTGCTTTTGTAAAACCGAGTCCAGACTCAGCCAGGATATCCTAATCCACTATCCTGAAACAGCCCTCGGGTTTGCATTTGTGCCACACTTTGAATGTTTCAGCTCATAAACAAGTTAGAGGAATCAATTTGAGAATAATAATAATAATAAAAAGCATTTTTATGAATATTTAGTTTTCAAAATGTAAGACCAACATACAACTGTCTGACATTAAGTTTATTTTTAGCAAAATGCCACTGGTATAGCTAATTATTTAATTTTAAAGCGATTAAAAATGTATATTTTTGTCCTCAACGATATACATTGTGTCTGCATTTTCAGCGTGAAAACACATTACTGCATAAACATCTTTGCCTGTCATGCTCGTAAATGTATGAATATTCCCTTGTGTGTCAAAGCTTTTGAGCAGAGGTGGAAACCACTTGGAGAGCTACGTGTCTCTGTGCGTCTGCTTCTGACATCACCCCTTCTGAAGTTACAGATATGGCAATGCCTCTCCTGGAGACAGCTTAGTCTTCTTGAGACTGAAAGACTAAAGCAGGCGTCGTTATGTCGCTCAACTGGTCGTCCAAGGAGCAGAAAACCCAGAACCAGCCGACAGCGGCTGGACAGAAGCGAGCGCGCAGCGACGCGGAGAACAAGGTGACGGTGGTTCTCGGTGCGCAGTGGGGAGACGAGGGAAAAGGGAAAGTTGTCGACCTTTTGGCCACCGAAGCTGACATTATCTGCCGATGCCAGGTAAAAATCAGAATTTGGGGTTTTTTTTTTTTTTTTTTTTTTATGTAGTGGTTTCAGTGACGTGCCATTTTTTTGAAAGAGGGTTTGCACATCTTAGAATAAAAGCGGGCATGTACTGACGTTCAGACTGGAAAACACCTGGAAATCAATTGTGCTTTCTGGAACCCTTTTAGCAAGTTTTTATTATTATTATTATTATTATTATTGGTCGTTAACTGATTTAACAATAATTGTGGCAAGTGTACCAATAAATGCAACATAAAGTGGAATCTCATTTCCATCTCATGTCAAATAATTAGGAAAAGTAACCTCGGACAGGTTTGTTGTCCAAGTACATTGACACACAACACTGTAAAGGTCAATCGTACACGGAGACACACACTCAATCCTTTCAGCAGTCGGGGTGTTGTGGTACCCTGTGTTCTGAAGGCTTTAGAGCCCCACCCTCAGGGCCGGAGAGGTCACATTCTCTGGCTGGTTTGATATGTGAGAAGGCCAGTCTAGTGGGGGAAAAGAGCAGAGCGCCAAGCCTGTTAAATTGGGTTCTGGAAAAGCTTGGTGGTTACAAAATGTCACCATGTCACACAAATATGAGACTTGTCATTTCCACTAAGTATTCTGATGTTAACAATACAGTAAAATGTCTTGACTCCCACTGAACCTTTCCACATTTCTTTTTGTCACAAGCACCAGCATCAATAAGGATATTTTATGAGGATTTACCTGATAGACCAACAAAATTACTTTGTATATAATTACTTACTATTCTATAACATTCATAATTTCATAATTACTGTGGACAACAATAATCTAATTTTCTTCACAGATTCTCAGATGAATTTTCTAAGTTCAATTCCCCTACAATCTAAGGAGAGGACTTTCTTCCCCATGCTTGTCTTCAGTAGGGATAATGGAAAACTGCATATAAGACTTTTTATGGCTATAATTGGATTTCCCACAAAGAGTATACAATTATGATGGAAGAAAATGGCAACATGTTCCTCCACCAGAGCTATCAATCTTTGCAGCTAATCCAGAGATAGCAAGGATCTCTTGGCTGCTCATTGGATTAATTCTCTCTTTTCCCAGCAAATCAGTTAAGGTGGATATTCTTGGTAGATTTTCAGTTGCGCCACACTCAGACATAGTTTTCATGTGAACAGTCCTCAGAGAAATGTCCAAACTTTCACACATTGCGTTATATTCCAGTCCTGTTTTAAACTTTCCCAGAACTTTATCTCTGGTCTGTCTGGTAGGTTCCTTCACCTTCATGATGCTTCCTCGCTGTTCTCTGTTCTCGTAGAACAGCTGGATTCATACTGAGATTAAATTACACACAGATGTGCTTATTGGAATAGGTGCAAGGGAATTGTTTGCACTAGATTTAATTTTAGGGGTAACAGACTGATTTCAAACCTTTACATTTTTGTTTGTAAAAACCTCCACTTTACAACCATTCACTACACTGTGTTGACCTATCGGAAAACATCCCAATAAAATAGAGGGAAGTTTTTGGTTGTAGCATGACAAAATGTGGAAAAATTCATAAATATATTTGCAAGGTGCCATACATTTACCATTGCTTTTACAGGGGGGCAACAATGCAGGACACACAGTGGTAGTGGACGGCAAAGAGTATGATTTCCACCTTCTCCCCAGTGGAATCATAAACGCCAAAGGCATTTCACTCATCGGTAACAAGGCTTTACTCTTATGACTCTCTCAGAAACCACAGCCTTCACAGCATTACTGAGTCTTTTCCTTTGATTCCTTTAGGTAACGGCGTGGTCATACATCTTCCTGGACTGTTTGAAGAGGGAGATAAAAATGAGAAGAAAGGTACTTTGTTGTAAAATACTTTTAAAAGAAAGTCTGAAGTATGAATTTGTGTTCTCATTTAGATGTGATTTTTATTCCATGACCAGGTCTGAAAGGCTGGGAGAAGAGACTGATAGTTTCAGACAGAGCTCACCTTGGTAGGCACATTTCCTTCAGATAATTATCTGTTGCAATAATTGTGTGTTTAACATAATTAAATCTTATCTTTCCCCTCAGTCTTTGACTTCCACCAAGTTGTTGATGGCTTGCAGGAGACAGAAAGACAAGCACAGGAAGGAAAGAAGTGAGGAATACAA